CGGAAGCGCGGAGGCGGAGGCCGACACCGACACCGACGCGGAAGTTGGAGAACGCGAGGCAGAGACAGAGGTAGATGAAGAGGTCCCCGAACTACTCCGTCGCGCACGCGAGCGCCGCGGGAATCGCCAGCGAGAGTCGCCAAAGTGCACCGCGAGCAACACAACGAATAGAAAGAGAAAGAAAGAACGCGCACGGTCAGACGGGTGAGACACCCACGGCCCAAAGACCAGTCGCACACTCACCTTGACGTACTCACGCTCGTGCTCCTACTCCGGGACGCGGAACTGGATGCCGAGGACGATGACCGAGAGTTTGAGTGCGACTGCGAATGTGAGGTGGACTGCGACTGGGACGTTGACTGCGAACGGGTCGACGACTCGCTCGAGGACTTGGGCCAGCTGAACGACAGCGACGACCACCTGCTTGACGAGTGCGAGTGCGAGTGCGACGCCGACCGGCTCCCGCTCACGGATGAGCTCGCACTCCGCGAGAATGGGTTTGACAGCGAGAACGACGTCGGCACGGAGACTGAAGTGACCGAGACTGAGGGCGCCGAGACTGAGGACACCGAGACTGAGGGTACCGAGACTGAGGACACCGAGACTGAGGATACCGAGACTGAGGGCACCGAGACTGAGGGCACCGAGACTGAAGACACTGAGACCGAAGGCACCGAGACCGAGAAGGACGTGGCCGAAGCCGCGCTCGTCGACTGCCCGCCGGACCCAGACTGCGGGTCGCCTCTGCTCTGCGAGCCTGGCGCAGATGGGGCGCCGGAATCGGACGTCAAGGCTGCCGGGGAAGTCGGGGCGGAAGGTGCTGAGGGCGAACTGGACATGTCCGACGGGGTGGACGACTGGGAGGCCGTGGTCGACAAGGATGCCTGCGCGCTCGTCGGGTCGGACGCGCTCGTAGCCGCGGACGCGCCTCCCGTTGACGTCTGCGCGCTGCTCGCATCAGAACTCGAGTTCTGGCGTGCCATGAGGGGCGGTGCAATGGCTTCGACGGGGAGGCGGACGCTCGCGTTCATATCCCGCGCGTTCGCAGTCTGGACGCAGGCGGCAGAAATCGGGAGGGGCATCTGCGCGCAGGTGAGGCTCAACGCAAGCAGGCCGAGCGTCGCGCTGATGTTCCGCGGGCGGCGCGCAGGTCTGGATGAAGAGTCAGCTCACCGCGCAACTCTGCTCTGGCAGAATAGAACGCACCTTTGCGGCGACCTCGCCGGCCCTGCGTGGACGGTGCTCGACATGTCTGGGCGCGTATGGGTGGTGGCGCGCGTCCGCTTCGGGGAGGAGGCTCGCGCAGAGCCGAGATGTATGCATGCGGAGGGGGCGCGCGTGTGTGCGCAGGCGGCCGCGGAGGGCTGGGTATAGGGCGGGTTCGCCGGATCTAGACGTGAAGAGACGTGCAGAGAAATAATGGAATCTGTAGGGTAGATGCAAGAGTGAGACGGTCTACGATGCGGCAGTGGGTGGTCGTGAGAGGTGGGCGTGGGCGAGGGCGTGGACGGGAGGGCATGCGAGGCAGTCGGACGGGCGTGTTTTGGGGTATCATCGCGGGCGTGGGCAGAGACAGGGAGCATCAGCCGGGGATGCGGCAGAGGCGTATGTATGTCAGACTGGCGTGCCTAGTGACCAGGGTGGAGCCAGCGCGTTGGCAGGGAGAGCGACCACAGGTGGATGGAGCACTGCTGGCAGCGTGAGTGTGCGCACTCGGAGGTGTGCGTGCAGCAGTAAGCCGGCGAGGACGGCGTGCGCATGGAGGGCCGGCGACGGCGGGCGTCGCTGGCGGTGGTCGCTGGGTGGGACGGCGAGGGAAGGGGGCGTCGAGGGCGTGCGCAGAGGCCGCTGCGACATAAAACGGGCATCCCTGCCCACTGCTCCCGGCAAAGACGCCGCACGCACCGTGTCGCTGGCGCAATTCCCAATCTCGCAGATCTGGCGTTGCACGACCCGGCATCTCGGCGCCCCACCCCGCGCCACCGCCACGCCGCCTCGTGCGTACGCCACCCCCGACTCCCCGCCCGCCCGCCTTGCCTCTTCTGCTCCCAGCGCGCCATATACCAGGAGGTCCCGGACTCACCTCGCGCACGCATGGAAACGGCGCACAGGCTGCCGGCAGCGCAGTCTGGGTATGCGCTCACCTATGACGCGCATCAGGTACACCTGCCCGCCTTCCAATACAGACGCATCTTATCGACCTCCTCTGTGCATCCCTAAATGTCATCGAATATTGGCCAGTGCGCACGCCCCCTAACACGCGTCGCGCTACTGCTCGCACCTCGCCCTGATAACCCGGCGTCCGTCCACTCCGGGACGCGACCCTCCGCCGCCGACCACAAACAAGCTCGGACACCTGCTGTGGCTCTCCTCCTGAGAACCTCGCCCCTCGGCCCGCCGTCCGCGCCAATCCCCGCGCGCGAACACCCTATGTTTAGACGTGAAATAGACCGCAGGCGTCGAGAATCCTCACAGCACGTAAGGATTACTCACGCCCGAGCCCAAATGCCGTACGTATTGCCTCCTCTGCCTGTGGCGTTGGCACTCACGCAGTTCCTTGTAGGCTGAACATCGCACAATCTCTGCGTGATACCGCGCGCCGCTACACACGTGCAGTTGTGTTTCGTCAGTGCGAGGCCAACCGCGAACACTCTGAACGTACTAGGACGTCGCGTCTGGGACTCGCCCGCTCAAGGCTAGAGGCATCCACCACTTGTTCTTGAACAGCCTTGATCCCCTTCTGCCTGCGACGCGCGGTCAACTTCGCCACAAACCCGGCCCTCCTCCCACGTCCGACATCACCCGAGGTAAGTAAATCGCACTCTCGTCACCCTTCCTGTATCACTCTCCCACAGTGCCATGGCTTCGTGACTCTCTGGTAAGGCACTCGCCTTACAAATGGCGACCCACGCTCTATCGAACGCGCCTTCGTGATCTCTGCGGCCTTCCGAGTCGCTGCCGGAAGGTAGGCAGTATCGCCGGTGCACCGAACTTCCACTGGACGCTCTACGCACGCGCGTGCTGCGTGCGCACGGCATGGACGTTCTACTCGGCTGCCTCTCGCTCGACGGTCGCCGCACGTTCAGTAGACATTGATTCCGCGTCGTCAGTTAGCAAGTCTGGCTGCGGTGCTGGGACTCGCGCGTGCTCGACGTGTCTCATCGCAGCGCGCGAAGGTCTAGACACGCTACATATCGTGAACGTATCGTGGCCAGGCCTTGCTGTGCACTTCGACCACCCATCCAGCGAACACCTACGGCTAACCACTCATCAGCGTAGGTTTTGTCCGAACGCGCTCCCGCTTGCAGCCCTGCTCCACATTCAGCTGACCCGTCCCCTCCATCGTCCCACGACTGTCGTCCCATCGAACAGGCCCCGCCGCGCGGCCATCACTCCAGTACCACTCACTGGCGAGATACTCGTGGCCACCGGTGGCCCTGCAGTAACTCAGCCCATCCAGACTGGCACGGTCGCGTGACGGAATTCGGATACCCCTATGCTTCTGCGACTGCAAGCCGGGTCTATGTAAGATGATAACCAGTGAGTATGCTCTAACTTGCTGCGAACCGCGACTTCCAAGTTGACTTCATGACCAGCAGCCCGCCAATTCAGCTTGCTTCGGCGGCAGATGAGTCCAGTGACCCTACCCACGACGCTGCTGCGTTTGCATCAAGTCTACCTAGCTGCATTGCCGAAAGGCGGTGGCGCCTTCTACAAACGTGGCGTGCGATGGTTGAGCATGGACCGCTGGGTATGGCTTCGAACTTGTCAACGCCTGACGATGCCAGTCTGTGCTGCCCGCACGATCGGACGTCGGACAACAGCTGCGAGTCTGCGTATACGTGGTCTCCGGGCCGTCTGAGCTTCAAGGCGACCTTCACGTTCGTACCAGTGGAGCCTCGGCGGCCCTGCAGGCATGGAAGGTATATTCAGTGTCGACGTGAAGTCAAAACGATAATGAGGGTGGGGAGCTGTTGACCTTCCGGTGAGCGTTTCTACCGAGTACTGGTCTTCGGTTGCACAGGTGCCGAATCGCCTGCCCAGAGAGCGGTCGACGCGTTGGGTTGGCTGGAAGACGAGGATGACACACGCCCAGGCCGGGTCGCAATCTGATTGGTGTACCGATGCCTGAGCCCGAGCTCGTTTGTGTGCGTAGCGTGCTACTGGTACGGGCTACCGAGACGAGCCTGAGCACTGCGCGATGCTATCTGACCGTGTCATCAAGCCTCAGGTTCGACTACAAATGCGTTCGCACTGCTCAGCGCGCTGACATTTCAAGTGCTCGTCGGTTGTGTATAACCAGCACGAGTCGACGCCCATGCCAGACCGCTCCGCTCATATGCTCGCCATGCATAACATCGGTCAACAACTATTAGGGTGTGCCATCCGGGCCGTCGAATCATGTTGAACACACCTCAACGCAGCTCCCACCATTCAGGGCGGTCTGTCAGTCACGTACAAGATTCCGTGGCCAAGCCCGATTAAATGAGCGGTGGATTCTGGAGGCCGCATCCTTCGTTTGCGAAGCGTGCGAGGTGGGGAATTGTGACTGCACGCAGTGTGGATCAGCACTGAGTTCGCATTCAACTCTTACTGGATGTCGACTTCAGCAACGCTCTGTGGGTCGCTTACAGGGCTTCAGTGCTTCATGCATCAGCCCGGTCCTCGTTCGTTCAATCTTCAACATTTCAATTTTCCGAGGCCGTGCCAACTAGGCGCGATTCCCCAAAAGTCGTCTCGATTTCTTTTGGTGGCCCGGAGCGCCAGGGCGATTTGCCTCCGCTGTGACTACACGAATTGTAGTCATTGATCGCCGTCGGTCCGAGTAGTGTCTGTGCGTTCGCTGGGCCGAGGGGCGACGCGCTTTCTCCTGTACTTCAAGTAGAACTGCTGCGGCCTGTTACTGGGACTTGACATTGACCGGGATTGCGTACAACGAGAACAGTGGCGCGGCGAGGGGATAGAGGGACGGGCGCCTACGCGAGTGTGGCGCGGACTGATGGGCGCCTGATTTATGTCGTTCATCTCCGGACGTAACTCGTTTGCGAACAGCGATGCGACGCCTACCGACAGATAACTCTTCGTTAGGGCATACTTGCGTTGGATATGCGATGGCTCACATCTCACAGCTGAACATATCCTCAACGCAGCGATGAGCAGCGATGTGGGGTTTTGAGACGGCTGGAGGCCCTGTGACAGCCTGAGGCTGGGTGCAGGTACGCCGGGGGAAGTCCGCTTGCTTCGAGCGTCCTGTCGCTCGATCGTGCACCAGACATGTCTGTCAATGACTGCAGCCCTATTTGGGTTCCGAGCTAGACGCGAACTCTGCAGCCTGCGCTCCCTTGCCCTCCGCCCTCCAGGTCCGCCCTCCTCCTTCCTTCTCTCTTCCTCCCACAGCTGACCACCTCACCTAGCCCAACTCTAGGTGTCCTTCACAGTCCTTTAGAGTTCGATATGGCTTCTCTCGAGAGCGCGGATTTGGAGTCACCTGCAGGTGGTACGCGGCTCCGTCTCGTTTCGACCATCTCGCTAACGAGGGGATCGTCGCTCTGCTCGATCCACCAGGAAACGAGACTTTCCATGTGCTGAATCGCATAGGACAAAGCCGCAGCCACACGGCGGTCCACACGATTCGGTACGAGTCGACAATGCGCTCGCACAGTTCCGGGTTCGGGATCGAAGGCCAGACCACAGCGTCGCAGCCCGACCTCCCGGCGACCACGTCCATCGACCTCTCCACAGATAGCCGCACCCTCAAGCGCGACTCCGCGGACGACGCAGACTCGCGCTTTCAGTCCCTCGACCGTTCCTCGACCAATCCTGCCGTCAAAGGCGTCGAGGCCGCGCCAGTAGTGAACCTCTTAGACGCTGCGGGGCATGGCGACGCGGATATGGAGAAGAATAGGTTGTCGGGCTTGTCCGCGACGGGGACGATGGAGAGCGCGAACCCCGAGGCGGGCTTGCCGGAGAAAGAGATGGCGGCGGCGCAGGGGAAGAACCCGCCCCAGTTTTTGACGGGGATCAGGCTTTGGATGCTCTTCGGGTGAGTCTTGCGGCTGGTGCGAGAATGATGGCTGACGGGGGAACTGTGCAGATCGATGGTCCTGACCGTGTTCTTGACGAGTCTCGACGGTACGATCGTGCGTATCTACGTTCTCCCGTTTATCCATGAATATGCTCAGCCATATTATACACGTAGGTCGCCACAGCCCTCCCGCGCATCGTCTCTCAGTTCGATGCGCTCCACGACGCGACTTGGGTCGCCGTCGCCTGTACGCCCATCCCTCGCTTCCTCATCCAGGCTCTGCGAACTGACTCCCCCATGCAGACATGCTCACCCGGACGGCCCTCATGCTCGTCATCGGCCAGCTCGTCAACGTCGTCCCGCTCAAGACGCTCTACCTCTTCTGCATCGTCTTCTTCGAGGGCGGCTCCGCCCTCTGCGGTGCGGTGAGTGCCGCGTAGCGCACCATTCTGGTGACGGGCACTGATTATTTGATGGCCGACGACGTGCAGGCGCCGAATATCAACGCGCTCATCATCGGGCGGGCGATTGCAGGGATCGGGTCCTCAGGGTGCGCCTCAGTGTTTCTTGAGATGAAGCGTAGCTAAGTCGCGTGTGGTGCTCGCAGAATTACCGTCTGCTACATCGCGGCGATCGTCAGCGTACGTCGATTGAATGCAGGGTGAAGAGACGTTGTTGACGCTCTTTTTCTGATCGGGACGCAGTTCACGTCCCTGACGCTGAGGCCGATGCTACTCGCGGGTCTGTCGGTCGTTCTGGCCGTGTCGACCATTTGCGGACCGTTGCTCGGTGCGTGCTATGAGCTACTACACGACAACCAGCGCATATACTGATTTCACCGCGTCAATTGGACAGGTGGAGCGTTCACAGGCGAGTCGCTACTCCAAAGCGAACTCCTCCAATGGTAATTGACATGAACGCGCATCCCTCCTGCAGACCATGTCTCCTGGCGCTGGTGCTTCTACATCAACCTCCCGGTAGGTCCGCTCCCTGTGGTCAAGACGTACGCTTGACGAGCGTCCTCATGGATGTACATGCACAGTTCGGCGGCCTCGCCGTCGCAGCCATGTTCCTCTGCATGCCCAGCCGTCCCGCCCCAATGGGCGCAGACAAGCCACTCCTCACGCGGCTCCGAACGTACGTCCGCACTTCCCCTTCGCCGTCGAGTCTGTTGCTCATGATGCACTAGTGGGATCGATTGGCTCGGGTGCGTGCTGACGGTCAGCCTGACGACGTGTCTCCTGCTCGCGATGCAGTGGGGCGGAGTCACATACGCGTGGGACAGCGGGACGGTCATTGCGCTGTTTGTCGTGTTTGCGGTGCTTTTGATAGGCTTGTGTTTCTGGCAGGTGAGTGTCGCTAAACCAGCTGTTATGCGGGTTATGCGGGTATGATCGCTAGGAAGGGGGTGCGTGAGCTGACGGTGTGCGGGTAATAGCGCTACTTCGGGAAGCGGTCGTTGGTACCGCCGACGATGTTGACGAGGCGGACGCAGGTGTTTGCGAGCTTGGAGACGGTGGGTTTCCCTCGAAGTCATGTTGGTTGGGCGGTGCTGAGCGTGGGTTGGTGGGTTTTAGTGCTTCTTGCAGTCGGCGTTGACTATCGCTGTGGTACGTATCCGTTTTTGACTGTTCGCGACCGCACAATCTCAATGAATGCACACGTTTTGACAGTACTATCTCCCGGAAATGTGAGTCTAGACTGTTCCTGTCTCTGCTCTACGGAGGTCATCGGTATTCTCCAGGTACCAGATCAAAGGAAGCAGCCCTGTCGGCGCAGGCGTGAAAGTTATGGCGTTTATGCTCGCGTACCTCATCGGTATGTCACTTCTATCGCGTGTTCGACTCGTGTCCTCACGTCTTTACTTCCTCCGTGTCGGCAGCGTCTGTCCTTGCGTCCATTGTCGTCTCCGTAAGTGCACCCAATGTCTAGACTGAACTTGAAGCAGCCTGATAATGTCTTCGTTGCCAGCGCGTCGGGTACTACAAGCCATTCCTCGTCTTCGCGCCGCTAATCGCTGTGCCTGGTGCGGTTCTGATGTGGCGCTCGGACGCGGGTACTTCGACGGGGCATCTTATTGGATACCAGATCCTCATGGGGGTATGTGCCTGTACTCGTAGTGCGATCGAGCAGAGCTGATCGAGGATTTGTAGGCCGGTATTGGGGGCGCGTTCTCTTCGACTAGCGTCTCTATCCAGGTACGTGCCTGTGAGGACGCAAACGCGCATTCGCTTGATCGGAGTTTGTTGTAGAGCGACTGGCAAGACGTCACACGCAGGAGCACGCTTGCTACGACAATCTCCGTGCGTGTTGGTGCCAGTGTAAAACTTACGTGAACTCATCGTATTGCACAGACGTTCATGGGCTTCATCGGTGGTATCATCGGTCTCAGGTACGCCGTTTGTCTCGACCTTTACGAATCTCTTCTGTTCTCACCGAACCCTCGCAGTCTCGCAGGAACCTTGTTCGACAACAGCCTCGGGACGCATCTGGCCCAGGTCCCCGGCCTAACCGACACGCTCCGCACAGAAGTTGCGGAGAGCATTGAGATTATCGCGTTACTGCCTGAGCCCCTCCGCGGCGAAGTCATCGACGCTGCTATTTCTGCTATCAAACCGACGTGGCTACTCGTCCTGGGCTGTGTCATACTCGGAAGTCTCTGCGGAGTGTAAGTGCACTTGCTTGCTTTGTGCGTGTGTGGAAATGGGGTGCTGATGTGGACGGTGTGATAGGTTCGTGAAGAACCATAATATCAAGGAGCGGGCGAAGCTGCAGCCGCAAGAGTAGATAACAATACGGAGTGGGGTCTCCTCGTGTTCAAGTTGTGGACTTGGAAGTCGAGCTTGCTTTGTTGGTCTGTGCGAGATTGCGGACTACTACTACTTGCATGGATATAGTATTGAATCAGCGTTAATACTTAAAGGAGTTCGTTCTTGCCTCCACTTATGGAGACTGAGTTCGCGCATGCGATGGGGAGATGTTATCGCCAGAGGACGGGCCGCTGGCTCATAGTTGGAAAATATATGTTGGTGGCACATCAACTATGCTTACCTTTGAAGCCTAAAGAAACAGGTGCATGATAACATGCCAATCACGCATGTGGAGCTTTTCTTTGGTTTCTAGTCTCGGAAAGCCCAACTGGTTCATACAGGTAATTTCGTAGATGCCTGTTACAAGATGCCTTCAAGATGCTCGAGCAGCGCTTGGACGCGACATAAGAACGGCGCCGTCGTTCTCCTCGCTGTCAGCCCAGAACCGAATAGCCTGTCTCGTATCTTACGAAGCGTGAATTCGTCATTGGGGTGCCGGGTGCCGAGTCCACCAGGCGTACCAGTGCATCGCGGGTCTCCTCATTCGACACACAGATCGTCGATAGTCAAAACGCGCCCTCTATCACCGCCCGCGTACGAAGTAGCGGCCTTGAGGGGAAATCTTTTGTAGCTGAGGATGGCAGATACAGTACGAGCTCCTTTGACATGCAGAACTTAGAAAGACGCGCCGGCCAGATGCGCCACAGGCCATTGCCAACAGTTGGGTATTGCATTGACACAGCACATCAATATGAATTTAGAGATTGCGGAGTCTGCACGATCTTCCATTCAACGGGATGCCGAAAGACATTACCGCTGCAGTCGGGGGTTGACGAGTCCAGCGGGCATTGTCCTCCCAAAAGCTAGCTATGTATATATGTTCAATGACGCATGGCGCTACATACGACTGAACATTTTACTCACAAATGACTTCATTCGAACGTCTATTCAAGACCCTCTCCGAACAGAGCCATCGGGCGTCGTGCCCCGAACCGAGGTGCTCCGCATTCCTGCATTGCATCAAGGAATCCTAGCACTAAAATACCGATTTTGTCTTCGGCCTGTGACAGTTTGCAACCGTTTTCGAACGATTTTCGCCAGTTGAAATGGCCCACACGCCACGAATCTGCTTCTGACGCTCACCGAGCCACCGTGGCCTGGAGAAGTCCGTACGCCGCACTGAGGGTCGGTGATTAATGTCATTCAGATGAGTCTGCAGGATGCGTGGAGGCGCCGACGCCGCACGCTCTGATAGTGTCCAATGTCCGGCCGACATCCAAATGCAGTGTCAACCAGACGCCCAGTTGGCGGTTCGTTCCTCTCGGACACAGTCACGGTGAGTGTGTCCCTCTATCGAACAGTGCCCGTTGGACTGAATCATAAGAAAACAATGGCTAGGCACACCTCTTTAGTACTTGCACAACCCGCTTCCGTTCACGATGATGAAGCTGACTATGAGGTCCTGTTCTTCGCCCTGGCTACGACGTCGTCTGTGGATGCATAGAGCATGTTTAATTGGGTTGACAATTTGTATCATGGAAGTTACCAGTAAAAGATGCTTGTGCTCACCAAGTGCTTGGCCACTTCAGCCGTCGTTTGACATACGTGACGTATCTTCCTCACCTTCAGTGCGGGGCTAGAGCCCAGTTGTGCTCTGTATTTGCTCTGTATCACCACAAGATAAGTGTGACGTCAAGAACGACGATGAGGCTCCCGAACACGGCGGCGTTGTTAAGAGATCTCTACCCTCAAAGCCGCAGCGGAAGCACAACTGCCAGATTTGCTCGTGCAACTCGGCCATAGCGAGTGCATAGCTCACCATAGTGACAAGCGCCTATAGCAGTCTTGCCCGCGGACGGTGTCCAGTTCGGGGCATGTTGTGTCTCGAGGCGCGTCCTTCCATCTTCCACGAAGTGCTCGTCAGTGCCAATAATGACTGGAAGAAGAGTCCCCATACGCACTGACTTATCGCGTCGACGGGCTCCCAGAGGACCCTAGATGATGGCCGGAATTTTCGTAATATTCCTGGTGTCTGTCAGTGCTCGCTTCCTGGCTGCATACCCGGGAGCTTTGCATCGCGCGCGGGGGCCGGGCTGCACGGGAGGAGGAGGTTATAAGGGGACCCCGAGGCATTTTCCAGAACCGCACCATTCCGCGAGTCTCACCATGTCCTTGGCGAACATCAGCACGACCGTCCAGTTCAATTACCGTCCGTCGAACGATCTGTTCCTGCGCAAGCTGCCCGCCTCGCGCTCGTTCGACTTCGGCCCGCAGGCGCCCCTCGTTGTCGTCGCTGTGTTCATTGCGCTGTTCGTCCTCGGCGAGGTGGGGCAGTTCTTGCTCGCACATCGGCAGCTTTCTACAGGGCAGAAGGGCAACTACGTGATCTTGCCATGGCTGTGGTACCTGGGCACACCGCAGTTCTTCACGAAGGAGTGCCGGTATCTTGCCAAGGCGCTGCAAAGATTCCCCGGATCGTGGTTCCGGTTCAGGGTTCGGGAGGTATGCCAGGCGTGTCAACTGTATTAGTGGTTCAGTCCTGACGGTGAATGCTACAGAACGACGTCGTCATCGTCTCTGGTAGCGAGGCAAGGCATGTCTTCTTCAACTGCCAGTCGCTTACCTTCCTCGAGGGCTACTTCCTCCTGGTAAGCCTTCAACTTCCCGTACTGCATTGCGTAACGTGCTGATTTGCCGACTGGAAGCATCCAAACATGAGGTACCTGCTGCCTGAGGCGTACACGGATGGAAAGGATGGCTTCGGCTGGCTGCTGAAGCAGTTTGCGCGTATAGACGTTCTCCAGCGATGTGAGTAGATGATTCTGATGGGTCATACACATTTACTGACCGCGTCCTAGTCCTTGCTCCTACAGTCGCCGATGCTCAGGGCCTCCTCACAGAGCTTGGGAAAGAAGGGATCATGGACCCCTTCACGGAAGTCGACCGAGTACGTCGAAGTGCATTCATCCCTATTTGGCGCTCACAAAGCTTTTCAGGCCGTGTTCAGCGTGTCCACGCGCATCGCGGCAGGCAACGAGATCGCGGACGAACCGGAGAAGCTCAGTGCGATGCATCGTGCGCTCTCGTGGTTGCAGAAGAGCTCAACGCCGCAGGCACATATCCTCCCGTGGATCCCGACGCCAGCACGGTTTCGGGGTGTGATCGGTGCCCTGAAGCTGCACCGGATGCTCAGCGAGGTGTTCTCGAAGCGCAAGCGGCACTCAGCGAGCAACAACGACGTGCTACAGAGCCTTGTGGATGAGGACGTCAGTGCGACACAGGCATCTGTGGTGAGTGCTTACCGCCGTGGTCCTGGTCCGAGGTTTGCTGATGGGATGTATGCGGCGCAGCTGACAATCATGACGATCCTGGCGGCGCATACAAACACGAGCGCGATCCTATCCTGGCTGATCATCACCCTCGTTCAACACCCGACATGGCTCGCAGCCGTCCGCGCCGAGGTCGACGCTTTCCTATCCACTCACCACGTTTCAACCCCTTCACACTCGCCTTCGCCCATTGGCACACCCTGCCCCACAGATTCCCCGTCCGATATCCCGTTCGTCGCGTGGGAGCGCGCGCTCCCGACGCTCGACCTCTGCCTGCAAGAGTGCCTGCGGCTCTACATGAACGTGCCTTTGATCCGGCGGAACACCGGCGAAGACATCGAGGTCGCTGGGCGGACGATCGCGAGCGGCGACTACGTGATGTACATGATGGAGGACGCGCATCTCGATGCGGCGGCGTACCCTGAGCCAATGCGGTTCGACCCTCTCCGGGATCGGAGCAGGGCGGGGAAGTCGGGCTTTGTCGCGTGGGGAGCTGGTGAGAACGGAATCGTAACCTGGTCGGACGCCGACGTGCTAACGGACGCGGTGTAGGAACTCACCCGTGCACTGGCCAACGCCTTGCGAAGCTCATCATTAAGGTCTTCGTCTCGTTGCTTCTGTGGAATTACGACCTTGAGCTTGTAGATGCCCGCGGCGAGCTGTTGAAAAAGGCACCGCAGCCGGTTATGGGGCTGTTCAGCGTGCCTAGACCGGATGCAGATGTGCGGGTAAGATATAAGGAGAGAGTATATGGTGCACGCACCCCGTGAGGCCGTTCGAGAGTAGCAGACCTATGGTTTTGATATTACTAAGATTGATAGACGCGAATGCTTGTAGATTGTCTCAGTAGACGATAGCTATAGAATCATACATGTTTTGAGGCGCACACGGTGAACCTCGCTCTGTGAAGGCAAGTTGCAACTCAGAAACCACAGTGCTATTTGAGCGGCGGAGAAGTGTACATGCCTGTGCCTTTAGGAGTCGTCAATGACCATTTGCTAGTGCGGGGATCTGTGACAATGAACAGGTATGTAGTGGTGTTATCCGTTCGCCCGAAATCGGTCGAAATCAGTATTTGCTGTTGGTAAGAAGGGAGCTAGCTCCAGGATGCGCCGCATGATTCTCAGTAGGCTGCAGGGCATTCGAAAGACAGAAGCTGAGGCTGACCCATATATTGACATTGCAAACTGCACCGTTTACACGTTAGCGCATTCGCTGGACGACGGGGCACACACATAAATCTCTAGAGACATGCCAGCGCAAAGTGAAAGTACCCAAAGCGCGACGAAGCGGGAGGGATACCGAGTGCAGCGGACGATGGACCGGCTGCACTTCAATTCGTACGTGAAATGGGATTTGAGAGCAGTGAGGGCAATACAAATCATCTGCGCGTGACAATAAAACAAGCAAGACTCATCAATCTGAAGGCATGTAGCCAGATACTGGACGTCACGGACGGTGCAAGCGTTGTTCGAGCTCAATCATAATGTCCGTGGGGATCCATATTAGATATCTTCTGTCTCTGCAGCAAGCCTGAAAGACCGTCACCGAGTTCCCGTCTGAGCACACATCATCGCACACAGCGGAGAAATCCCAGAGGATATGGGAGCAAAGGAAGAAGGGACTTGGGGGAGAGAGGGAACAATGGGCGATCGACGCGAACAAGGCGCGTCTGTTGTGGGTTGTTTGCGCGTCGCGGGAGACGCCGAAGCGTGTTGGAATTGAGACGCGCTGTTGTGGCCTCCAACAACAATCCCGCGTCGTCTGTGTCCTCGCCCCTTTCCTTCCTTCCTTCTGCCTACTCTGCACTTCACCTTGCGGGAACGACTTCACGATTCTTTGCCGCGCGCGTTCACGTTCATGCCAAAAACACGCAATATTCGCAAACCGAGAGCGGTGCCGCCTCCTGTCAAGCGAGATGCAAACGAGCCTCAGGCATCAGGGAGCTCGAAACCATCTGCGCAAGGAAAGGTTGGTCCGGTCAAGCGAGCATCGTCCCTCGTGCCCTTCCCGACCCCGCCACGGACGACGCACAAGCGCAAACGCGCACGCTCGCGCATCACTGATTCCGACTCGGAGGAGGACGAGCGGGGCCTTGAGCTCCCCTCCATCGATGAGGAAGGCGAGGAAGCCAGTGGCAAGCGCGATGGAAACGGTGCGCTCATCCTCGGATACAAGAAGCGCAAGACCCTCGATGCGATCGCCGAGGAGTTGAGCGAGGCCCAGGTCGAGGAGGCCTTCTGGATGGGCAGGCCTGTCTCAGCCAAGAGTGGGCAAAGCAGCTCAAAGGTCGCTGAGACAAGTAGAGGACGACAACGCTCGAGATCGCCTACACGTTCGCCATCGTCTTCTCCGCCTCCTGCACCCCACCTTCTGCGTCGCCAGCATACAGGACTTGCGTCCCCGCCTCCGTCAAAACGGCAGCCCCGCACGTACGTGATACGCAACGTCCGGACGCGCAGGCAGACACCTCCGCCTGCTCCGGCCCCAAGGTTGTCATCCGAGACGCGGGCTAAGAAGCCGGGACTGTTCCCTGAGCGCGACACACCGGACAACCCTTTCCTTGCGGACAGCTCGCCCGGTCCGTCCAGTGCGGTTGCGACTGGCTCTGAGCCACCGCGTACGCCGGAACGCCGCGTCGAGAAACCAACGGTCACATGGGTTTTGTGCGTCCTTATCCTTTCAATCAACCGTTTGTAGCCTTACTGTTTTCTTTAGCCGTGGCAAGAAAGTCGAGCTCGCAAATCCTCATTACAAGTCCCCCGGTGCCCCCGAGTCGGAGCAGGACGCCGCAGCCTTACTCCCCGAGACCCATCCAGACTACAGCCCCCCAGCGACCTACGCGCCGAAGTTACTCTTCCCCGAGGCGCGGCGCGACCTCCGCCCCCGACGGACGCCGTCCGTAGAACCGCGCACGCCCACCCGGAGCCTCCCCAGCCCCCGCGTCGAGACGCGCTCTCAGTCTCGCGCGCGGTCCCGGTCCCGCGCAGCGACAGTCGACTCTGATGACGAGGAGTCGGAGTTGCCGCAGGCGAAGGCCCACGCTCTGGCTGCGGTGCCGGAAGCTGAGGAGGAGGAAGTGGATGAGGCGGCGCTGGAGGCTGCGATGGCGAAACGACTGGCGCAGCGTATCGGAGGAGGCGGTAGCGGCAGCGGCAGCCGTAGCGGCTCGTCAAACGCGACGACGACGCTGTTCGAGCCGCCGATGACACGCGCGCGGGCGCGCGCTGCTCCGAGAGTCCCCGACAAGGATAGCGACCCGGCCCGCCGAGCGATGGGTCCTGTCAGGACCGTGAAGGGCTGACGTTGAGTGCTCTAGTATGCTGCTTATGCTATGGGACTTGAATGCGCTGATCTGATATACGCTACGCCGGTCCCTGTTTTTTCCGTTTCTCTTGTTCAGCGATGGTTGTTGACGTTCACTCTCGAGCATGTTGTCTCTTCATCCGTGCTGATCTATTGGTCTACGCATCTACCTGTCTACTCATTTACCTACTCGTATTGCGACACCCTTGCTAACTGTAACCTCCCCATACTATCCTCTGCGTGTCTATCCTCGACATGTACTGTCATCCATCCGTCGGTCTTCCGCCGAACGCGACACCCCCATCCTAGACCCTCACCGTCCCTCCTGAAGCACCAATAGTCATGAACAAGGCTGTATCTTGCATGTATGATCTGTCCAGCATTCTGGAATATTACGCTCCTGTTTTTATGCGAGACGTTTATGTATATATGCGCAAATGCTTTTGTTTTGTATCGAGACGGAGTGCAGCGGGCTGGCAACGACGTGTACTTGCAGAATGAACATCGATTGCTAGCGAACGTACAGGACGGGTATTGACACGGTAAAGCATTACAAAACGACGACAAGGCGGTTGACCTCGAAAAGTTGATCCGACCGAAGTTTCAAGCAGCAGGGACAGGTGTTGAGTCGGAAAGACGTTGCGATACGATGCAGACCGATAAGGGAAGCAGTTCGACGAGGGAAAGACACGGGACTTCAAGCAGATGTAGAGTCGGCTGGGTTCCAGACGCATATAGGCAGTTCGAGCACTTTCTGTTCAGGTTTCGAGTCGCGCCGCGACACGTTGGTTTGGGAAGAAGCCGGGCTACTAGGAGGATCCTGGAAGACGACGCCGCAGCTGGGCAGACCTAAGCGATCCCATAGCTGCGTCGAAGCCCGCCTGCGCTACTGAAGGGACGGATGTCAGTGAGCAGAACGACGCGCATTGAGTTGAAGTCGATGGTTGTATGCGTGTCGTTAACCAGGGCGGGACGCACCTCAGCAATTCTCCTCTTCATACCGGCGTATCTGATCTTGTACGGTTCATGGCGAATGCGTGGGCCTCCGGTGCCACGGTCGTCGGCATCAGTCTCGAGAATGGGGTCCGAGGGCGGGGGCGACGGGAGTGAAGCTCTGGCGCGGAGGCTGGCAGGATCGTCGAGCTTCGGTGGAGAGGACACCGGCGACAGAGGTATGTATACCGTCACCACAGGGTTGAATCGCCGACGCTCGCCGTCATCAGAGGCGTCCAGGTTAGAGATAGTAGAACGCGACGGCACCCCGCCGACATCCTGCCCTCGGGAAGGTGCACCGTGGGCATGAGACTTGGTCGTTGCCCGAGGCGGCGGACAGTAGACGGTCCGCTTCCTGCCTGTGGATTGCGATCTTCCGCCATCCGCCGTCAGGAGTGGCAGAGTGAACCTCTTTGAAGTCGCTGTGCGTGCCTTGAATGTCTGGGAAGTTCGTTTTGGTTGAGTCGAGGGGAGTGTGCACCAGGTTGCATCTGGCGAGATCGGGAATGCACTGTATGCGTCACGCTTGGTGGATTGCCTGAGACCAGGCGAAGTTTTGTTTGGCTGTATGCGGGTCCTAGCGAACGTTGCGGTCTCAGGATTCGAAGGGAGGCTTGGAGGTGGAAGGACTGGAGGGTGCGACTGAGGCCCGGGAGATACCTGTTCCTTGCTGGCGGTCAATAGCATTAAATTGGCACGGCGTGCAGACTCAAGAAATCATACCCGGGCTGCACTGCCAGTGCTTCCTGCACGCAGCCCTGTACTCCCGAGAGCACATACGAATGTGTTGGTGATTTCGCATCGGCAAGCATGCTGGCCCGGTCAAAATTCAGATTTAGGCCCCGTCGCAAGCACTTCGCACATACATACCCCCGATGCATGGGCTTACTGCTCGCAGATGGTGTTATGTTCCGACAATCTCCATCCTCGGGAATATCTGTTATGCGTGAAGGCGACACTCACTTGACCGCAGAGTACATCACCTCTCTGACGAGTTTTGACCGGTGCGAACGGAGGCTGGTGCTGGTAGGCATTGAGCACTACAGTGAACACGATTTCTCGCACGACTTACCTGTGTATGCGCGGCCTTAATGCCCTGACTTGAGATAGCTAGCCAGGAAGACTTGGCGTTGAAGGTTGGAACGGGCCGCTCGTCACTATTGCCGGCTAGAGCAAGCTACGTGTGTGCGCGCACTTAGCATATCAGATGATACATGAAATGCTATCATGCTTACCTCGTTTCGGCCTGAATCAGAAGAGGATTTTCCCTCACCTTCGGATATTTGGATCGATTGCAGCCCGCAATTTCGTGATTTTGACTGCTCAGGCCTGGACACTCCAGCCTGGTTGGGAGTGTGCTTCGCACGAATTGCTTGCGGGTGGGCAACATTAGCGACTCGGACGTTTCGTGTCGAGGCATTGATCTTGGCAATCGTCCACGGATTGGTACGATGTTGTGCAGCATCCAACCTGCTTGAGAGGTCGAGCTCCGAGAGAAGGGAGCGGTCTGATTCTTGTCTGATATCCGAGTCCGACAAGTCTTCATCATCTGAGAAGTAGCATGCACGATAATCATAGCACCAATTCATGCTGTAGTTCATATCAAGAGGCCGTCGTGCGCAGAAAGTACGAACCTCAGACCCTACAGCTATGTCACCTACCGTTCCCACACTTAGTCACTAATTAGTAATGTAGTCTCGGTGGTTACATCAATACTAATTAGTGACCAGATCTTCCGATCGCCTTACCCGTGAAGATTCCACCTGCGCTTCCCACACTATGCCATCAATTAGGCTTGACACATGATAGCATGTGATCGCCCTAGTTAGGCTTCGTCCACACCGATCGCCTTACACTGCGTTAAACACTGCGTTAAATCTGGGACTTATCAAACGAGTCCCTGGGCCCTCCGGCTATCCGGGTACGTCCCGTGCGAGCGCTTGGCCCCTGCTAGCGAGGCAGGGCACCCGATGCCATCAGGTCCCGTGATGGACGTCCCGTATGGTTCCTCGCCGGATATGGCAGTGCCTCCGGCCTCGCCACATCATCAGGCGCGCTCGCCGTCAGCGCGCTCGCTGTCAGCGCGCTCCCGCCACCCGCCCCTTTCCTGTTATAGACAGCCCACACGTGACTGCCCATTTCGGTTCTCTGCTGGCGCTCCCGCGTGATCCCGGATCGGAGCCCGGCGCTCCGCAACGTGATCGCTGGCCCGTGCGCACCGTGCTCGCCGGCGCTTCCCCTCTCCTTCCTGCTCACCGCCTCCACCGCCGTGCTCGCCGGCGCTTCCCCTCTCCTCCCTGCTTACCGTCTACACCGTCGTGCTCGCCGGCGCTTCCTCTCCCCTTCCACTGCCACGCTCGCTGCTCACCGTGCCCGTCCTGCCACAGCTCACGGCTACGCCCGTTGTGCTGCCCGGCGCTGCCTGTCGTCGTGCCAGCTCATTGCCGACACCGTCGTCGTTGTGCTCGCTGGCGCCTTCCATCCCCGCTTGCTCACTGCCCTAGCACCGCGTTCGCTGTACTGGTCCCTCCCCGGCCTGGTGCCACGTGTGCTGTACCACCCGGCGCCCCCGTCGTTGTGCCAGCTCATCACGCCTGCCGTCGTGCTCGCTGGCACCCTTGGTCTCGCCCAGTGCTGCCTCCTCGCTGCCGGGTATGTCTGTCTCGCTTCTGGTCGTCTTTGTGCTAATGTCTCTGCCTTCAGCACCGTGCTCGCCGAGCCGGTCCCGCTGCAGCTCAGTGCCATGTGCACTGAGTTGGTTGACGACCTCTGCTCGCCGAGTCACCACCTTCGCCGCCACGGCCGCCTATGTACTGTGCCCGACTTAGCGAGCTCGCTATGGTGAGTGTCATGCTCGCCGTGTTCTCCCCGTTTCCTTCCCCACTCCCATTCTGTCGACCTTGCCCCCTTCTTGCCTGCCTCCCGGTTTCCTTCCCCACTCCCATTCTGTTGAGCTCGCCCCCTTCTTGCCTGCCTATGTCAAACAAATATGTAGTATTAAATTCGTAGACCTGTAAGTAGATAGACAATGACATGATTGGGTCCACATAGCATGAGCATCGATGGCGCAAACACGAGAGATCATACAGCAACATTCGGAGAGGTGAGTCTTACACATGCTAGTTGTCCGCATCGCCGGGGACAAACTCAGCGCTCTTCGGTTCTGCGACACGGCGACGCTTGCGTGATTGACCCTCGCCGTCATCTCCGCTCTCGTCGTCGTCACTGCTCTCCTTCTCCACATCACCGCCCGCCATCGCCACTGCCGCCGCCGTTGCCGCCTCCTTGCCCTTGCCCTTGGCCCTCGACTTCTTGGGCCGCGCGTGCTTCTTTCCCTTGTCCAAGCGCTCCTTCCGCTTTTTGACCTGCCCGCCCGCAAGCTTCTCGGCGAAGGATGCCTTGAGCTTCTCACGCTCTTCGGGGGTGGTCTTCTCCCAACGACAGGCACCCGACTGAAGGGCTTGCCACTGTGCTTTGAGAGGGGGAATGCTGGTGCTGAGCTCAGATGGGTTCTTGAACTCGCTGAGGAGCCAACCACGAAGAATGACGCCGCGACGGAAGATGATCTCCTGCTCATAGTTGATGTAATTCATTTGGATGTTCGATTCACCACAGTGTCAGCTGCAGGAACAGCAACAAGTGAGCACTCTATATACTTGTGAGAATCAAGCCACGCACCACGTCATATACGATCTCCTCGAACATAATCCTAAATGCCATTTTCTCCACATACCCCTCCGAGTCCGACGTATTGTGCTCCCGCGTGGTGAAGAAGAGTTTGTGGAACTCCCCGCGAGGGGGAACGTGCTTGCCGTCCTTGTGGCAGTCGATGATGAAGTATAGCATGTCCATCTTGTCAAACTTATCGTGGTTCTTGCGGTAGTTGTCGTTGCGCCCCCAGTGAGTACACACAGATCGAATGCCAAGTGGGTTGAACGAGCATTGCTCGAATGGGAGAGCAACTGCTCTGCTCATTGCATGATAGGTTTTAACCGTGACCATGAGACGGAAGCCGAGAGTGGCAGAGTTTGAGTAGTGACTGCAGAAGAGTAGGAGTGAGCGAGATGATGCGGTGAGAGCACGAGTGATGAGAGCGGTGCGAGTGCGATATGGTGAGAGCGCAAGTGTGGCTGGCGCGCGGTGAACGCAATTATGCCTGCACGACTGCACGCACCGTACGTGCAGCGCATAACGGTTTCGTCAAATGCCTCCTTCCGTGGCCGCAAATTCCGTGCAACGTCCTCTGCATTTCCTAGAAGTAGGGCTGCATTTCCTTGAAGTAGGGAATCCCACTAATGTAGCAATCGAAAAATGGCATTACATTCGTTTGTTCAAGTTCGTTCCTGTATACATGCTAATCGAGAAGTTCCGCCGCACTCTCTGTAACATCTGCCGATTGTGCTCCGAGATTATCTACGAACGTAAGGAATTGTGCAGCCTCTTGTTCACCCTCCATCCCTGGTACATCCTCGTCATCGTCACTCTCGTCGTCGTCAGTGCGAGCCTCGTTGCGCGGTAGTAGAGTGGCACCATTGCTCCATGCTGCCCACGTCGGGAGAGGCAACCCAAACGAAGACGCCAGGTCGCGACCTGGACGGCGACCGTGCAGCAGATTCCCAGTGTAACCTGGGAGCTGCGTGACCTTGTAGAGACGGTGCGCGATCGTTTCGTTTACCTGATTGCGGTAAAGCCACCTTGTTGAGAGTTCGTGAGCGAGTTCCGGCCTCGAGATGAGGTTGCGAGAGATGGCATGATAGAAGTCGTAGTGCTCGTCAATAATGAAGGTAAAGAGCCGTACCATCTCCACGTTGAGACGTTTGATTTCTTCGGCCGCTCATTTGACATTGAAGTACACTGTCATGGCTTTGCGATTCGCTCTGCGAGCCCATGGGAGCTGTCGGATATCTTGACGTTGACGCGACCGAAAAAAACACAAAAGCCACACAAAAACCCAACCGTGAGGTCGAGCAGTGGTATGCGAGGCCTCTGTGTCTATGAGATGTACGGGGGACTGTACAGTGGTCTAGGTAAGAAGGAGGAGGACGGACAAGACTCCGAACGACGTGGGAGAGCTTCGAAGATGTCGAAGACTGTTCGAAGACGAGGGCTAAGCCTCGAAGGTAGGAGGGAGGGTTTCGACAGACGTGTCGAACGAACGGTGACAAGGAAGGCGAGCGACGGCAGGAGAAGAAGTGTAGAGCCACTCGGGGCAACTACGAGCTGGCGAACGTACTGGTGAACTGACTGACTGACTGACTGGCCCCGAACGTACTGGCTGACTGGCGAACTTGCTGACTTTCGAACGTACTGACTGGCTGACGAACCTCGCCGGTGCGAGGTGAGATTGAGAGGGTAAGGGGGTCTCTGAGATTCGAAGGGAACCAGTCCCAGAGTATATACAGGGAAACACAGCTATTACCACTACGGAGCTCCAACGGCCCCAAACATCCGGCTATGGCTTCTAACACGTGACAACTGCTCTCGGGCTCGCTAACCAGTGGTCCGAAGGCCGACCGGCTATCACATGACACCGGAAACCGAGACCACTCGTCGAGGATGTGAGACGACCTGCAAGGACTCACTGGACATCCTGTAGCATCCTATGGTCTTGTAGGAGTTCTTCTAACACCGTAGCACATCTTCTAACATTGTAGCATGTCTTCTAACATGTTTGAGTGTCTTCTAACACATAGTGCATCTTCGAGTGACCTGCGTGCTCTGGGGTTGTCTAGATAGGTGGGTAGGTGCCCCTATAGCGTTGCTGAGGTGTTGGAAGGTCGCGGATAGGCTTCTAAGGTGAGCCAGGATTGGCTACGAACTTCGAAATCTTCGAACAGTTGTAGTGGATCTTCTAAGAGCTTCGGAGCATCGTAGAGGCCTAGATTGCGTTTTCGGGGCTTAGATAGCCTAGAGGCGTATCAACATGCGTCTCGTAGCAGGTCGAACTCCGATAACGTTGTCATTTCCATCACCTCGGACCATGTCAGCGACGGCCGTGGCGGGACGAGCTGGGCGGCGCGGCGATTGTACTCGGTGAGAGCTTTTCGGACTGCTTCTGCGCGGGTCTTCAGTGCCTTCCCAATCTTCTCGCGCATCTTGTACCCTGTGAATGCATGAGAATACAAGTGGCCGCGAACTGTGAGTAGTACTGAGTACTCACCTGTGCCACTCATTCCCAGCTTCGTGAGCTCAAGGAGACGCTGCACGACCAGGCGCTCGAGGTTGTCGAGCGCGCACCTGTATTTCCGTCGATCGAGCTCACCGAGGTACTGCCTGTATATCACGTCTGCTGGCTGCCAATGGTCGGCAAGCTCGAGCTCATGCTCGATGATTCGTGCTTCTTCGTCAAGGGCTTTCCAATGCCCGAACATGCTTGAGTAGAGTGATAGAATGGTTGTTTTGTTGGGGTTTGCGGCACCGATGCGCTTCATGTGTTCAGCACAGACGTATTCTGTCTTCGCAGCTTGCAATTTTTGCCTGCAAACAGAAGTGAGTGCAGGTAGGATCTCGAAGATGACACTTACCAGGCATTCTCTAACTTCAGCAATACCTCCAGGTAATCGATCCGACGGCTGACCGACAATGGTTCCGCCTTCAGGCCACGTAGATACGCGCGCTCTTCTGCAACATAGTTCTCGTATTCGGCTGGTCCTGCTCGTAGTTCATCTGACAGCACTCGGACAACCTCACCATCGAGACGAATGATTTCTAGAGCTTGCCGGTAGTTGTTCCAGATGAACGAGGCTGAATTGGTCAGCAACGCCAGAGACAAGTATGTAGTACTCACCCGATTCTACATGTTTTCGCTCAGCCCAGTGCCCGAAAAACTCCTCAATTGCTTGATGGCGGTGGAAGGCAGTCGAAAGCCGCGTACCCACAGCAAGCGCATTGGATTCAGAAAACAGGCGTTCACAACCTTCGAAGTCTTCCTTACCGACGCCTTCCATATACAGAGGATGCCAGTCCAGTTGGCATCCCCTGTTGTGGCTATAGCCATGGAAGGCGGCTACGACGCCCGAGAAGCGCGCTGCCCGCGCCTTTGCGCCAATGGAGCTTGTCTCCACAGTCTTCGTGAACGCGCATGCTATGTCATAGCCGAGTTTGATGTTGTTGCCGTATACGTCGATCATCTTCGCGACGATGGCGAGCGGATATTTCATGCTGCAAGCAACGATCAGATCAATCAGTAGCTATACTAGAATGATGTCAGAAACGTACAGCTCACCGCTTCGGATCATGTCGCACATGATCAGAAGCTGGCCATGTGTCACGTTCCGTGCCACCAAGACCACCTCCGAACTCCAGTTCCGTTTTCTCCGTCTCCGTTTCTCCGAACTCCGGTCTAATTGTATTCGCTTAGCCTATCTTCTCCCGCATTACAATTAGCGTACCGCATGGTCTCTATCTTGCACGGACAATTAGCTTATTGTATTCACCCCGGTTACTAACATCTCCGGTCTTCCGTTATTGTTTTCCGTATCCCTTCCTCCGACTTATTGTCTTCCGTTCACAATTAGGACTCTTAGTATAAAAGACCGAACTGTAGCACTGTTGTACTCCAGTTCGAATATCTCGTTTATCCTCGTCTAACCAATCCGATTTCCTTTCCTCCGAACTCCTGTCTGAACTCCGGACTTCCGTCCGACCTCTGTCTAGTTTCTCTCGCTCTCGTCTTCTCCTCCTCCTTCCTCCGACTATATCTCCGGACTCCGTCATAGTCCACCTCCGTCCAAGTCCAAATAGAGGACCTCGTCGAGTTCTCCCAGGGGCGTTGTTAATAGCTTCGCCAAGTCCTCATTCCACTGCGCTCCGAAACTCCGGACTTCGTAACTCCGACCTCGGACTTCGTCTCGAGCGCACGATCCTAACAGTATATTCGAACTGACTCTTGGGATCTCGACATGACCGACGATTTCCGCGGGTTCTCCGCCCGACGTTATAATGTTCCGTTGGTCAACAATCCGACTCCGGTTACACCCACTCGAGCTGCACCCGTTACGCCCACAGTTAGGGGTACCGCTGTAATACTCCCACCGGACACCGTTTCACGTTCTCCGGTTCCTTCTTCCCGTCGCACCAGCCACAATCCGTTTGAGGATCCTGCCTTCCGTGAAGGAGGAGCAAACCCGGTCTATAGTCCGGGCGGGCCAATCAACTGGCCTCCACAACCGATTCCAGATCGTTCTCCAATTCTTCCGGAGTTGGTTCCGCTACCTCCTTCCATCCGTTCGTCACCTCGTCGTGACCCGCCTCCAACGGGTCAGGATGTCAACCACGAGCTCGCCGGAGCTATTTCGCTCCTGGCTACCACCCTCCAGCGACAGTCTGCCGCTCCGACGCAACCCTCTTCGCGCGAGCGGAACAACGTCCGGGAGCCGGACCAGTTCGACGGTTCGGACTCGACCAAACTCCGGTCGTTCTTCACCCAGCTGGAGCTCGTTTTCAAAGCTCGCCCCCAGACATTCGACTCCGACGAGAAGAAGGTCACGTACGCCGTCTCCTATCTCAAAGGTACTGCTCTGCAATGGTTCGAGCCGTACCTATTGGAGCAAGTGTCGTCTACCCCTCCCTTGTTCCTGACGGACTACGAGGAGTTCCAGCAGGAACTCCGAATCAACTTTGGTCCGTACGACGCCACCGGACAAGCGGAACACGACCTCGTAAACCTGTCCATGTCCGAGAATCAACGGATCGCGAAGTACATCACCAACTTCAGCCGTCTCGCGACACAGGTTCGTTGGGGCACTTCCGCCCTCCGCTACCAGTTCTACAAAGGTCTTCCGGCGCGTCTGAAGGACCGCATCTCCGAAGTCGGGAAGCCCTCCACTCTGGAGGAGCTCCGAAACCTGGCCCAAGCGCTCGACCATCGTTACTGGGAGCGCAAGGCTGAGCAGTCTAGGGAATCCCCCAGCTCGCACAAGTCCGGCCAGAAGTCAGCCGACTCCAAGTCCGACTCCAAAACGTCGCAGCCTGCGAAGTCCGGTTCCTCCGGCTCGCAGAACACGTCCTCCTCTACTCCGTCCAAGTCGTCGACTTCGTCTACTCCGAAGGCGCAGTCCAAAGCCCCCGCTAAGCCGTACTCCGACAAGCTGGGCAAGGACGGCAAGTTAACGCAGGAGGAGCGTCAGCGACATTTCAACAACAACCTCTGCCTCTTCTGCGGCGGTGCCGGACATACTGCCAATGCCTGCCCGAAGAAGACGTCGTCCGCTGCCAAAGGCCGCGCTGCCGAAACAACTCCGGCGACGACTCCAGAGGCTCCGAAGGAGTCAAAAAACTAGTCCGCAGTCCTCCGACCTTCGCGCGCGGTGGGGACTGCGTTGACGATACCCGCGCGGAACAGGTTCTCCGACTCAACGCGTCCGCTCTTTCCGACCCTTCGTCCCTCACAATTGAACTATTTTCCGACTCTGTACCATCACCCTTTCGCGCTCTTGTCGATTCCGGATCTTCGCACTGTTTTGTAGATTCGGACTTCGCGGAGAAATACCATCTTGTCACCTCGCCTGTTACTCCGCTCCGACTGCAGCTTTTCGACGGCACGTCTAACGAGACCATCACTCGGACCGCCTCGATTCCGCTCCACTTTCCCTCAGGGGAAGTTCTCTCCGTCGACTTCTACGTCACTCCGCTCGATAAGTCGGTCTCCGCCGTCCTGGGATACAGCTGGCTCTCCGCCTACAATCCGTTGATTGATTGGAAGAAGCGCAGCATCCAATTCCGAACCACACCTCCGACTCGTCCCGTATCTGACTCGGTACCACCTCCGATCCCTCCGGATCCTTTACCGGATCCTCCGTCTGCTCCGCGTACTGCTCCGCAGGTATCTCTTGTGAACGCTGTGGCGTTCTCTAGGGCCTGCAAGCTTGCCGGATCCACGAGCTATTCGCTCAATCTGGCCGTCGATTCAACCTCTGCTCGCAGCTCATCCGTCTCCGACTCGCCTCCGGACCTCACCGGAATACCGGAGGAGTACCACGAGTTTGCGGATGTCTTCAGCAAGACCAAGGCGGATATCTTGCCGGAACACCGCCCGTACGACCTCAAAATCACCGTTGAGGACGGCGCTGTTCCACCCCTCGGACCTATCTATTCCTTGTCCAAGCTAGAGCTCGACACTCTCCGAGAGTACATTGATGAGAACCTCCGCTCTGGTTTCATCCGCCCTTCCAATTCTCCGTGCGGAGCTCCGGTCCTCTTCGTCAAGAAGAAAGACGGGTCGCTTCGTCTCTGTGTCGACTACCGGGGTTTGAATAAAATCACCCGGAAGGACCGCTATCCTCTTCCCCTCATCTCCGATCTCCTGGACAGTCCTCGGAAGGCCAGAATCTATACCAAGATTGACCTCCGGCACGCCTACAACCTTGTCCGGATTGCTCCGGGAGACGAGTGGAAGACCGCGTTCCGAACTCGATACGGATCCTTTGAATGGCAAGTCATGCCCTTCGGACTTTCCAACGCCCCGGCGGCGTTTCAGCGTTTTGTCAACGAGATTTTTTCCGACCTACTCGACGTTCACGTCGTGGTTTATCTCGACGACATTCTCATCTATTCCGATAACCCCGAGGACCACCGGAAACACGTCAAGGAAGTACTCCGGCGGCTCCGAAAGCATCACCTCTACGCTCGTGCGGACAAGTGCGAATTTCACGCCGATTCCGTCGAGTACCTCGGGTACATCCTCTCCGCTGACGGTCTAACCATGGCTGAGTCTAAGGTCAAGGCGATTCTGGACTGGCCGGAACCCCGCAAAGTCCGAGACGTTCAATCGTTTCTCGGCTTCGCCAATTTCTACCGCCGGTTCATTCACAATTACTCCGAAATCGTCCTACCGCTCACCCGACTCACCCGGAAATCCGTTGCCTGGAATTTCTCCGAGGACTGCCGTAAGGCGTTCAACGAGCTAAAGCAGGCTTTCACCACCGCTCCGATCCTGCACCACTGGATCCCCGACAAGCAGATCACCATCGAGACCGATGCGTCGGACTACGCAATCGCCGGAATATTGTCCATTACCGCGGACTCCGGGGAAATCCACCCGATCGCTTTTCACTCTCGGACCTTGACTGGTGCGGAACTGAACTACGACACTCACGATAAGGAACTCTTGGCTATTTTTGAAGCCTTCAAGACGTGGCGGCATTATCTCGAAGGCTCCGAATCTCCGGTCGACGTTGTCACGGACCACAAGAACTCGAATACTTCGCTACCACAAAACTCCTGACGCGACGTCAAGCGCGTTGGTCGGAGTTCCTCTCGCAGTTCAATATGATCATCCGATTCCGCCCCGGAAAACTCGGAAGCAAACCCGACGCACTCACGCGCCGTTGGGATGTCTACCCAAAAGAGGGGATAGTGACTACTCCGTCGTCAACCCACACAACTTCCGACCTGTTTTCACGCAGGAACAGCTCGCTTCCTCTCTCCGGGCAACCATTCTCCGAGAACCAGTCCTCCGCGCATCCCTCATCCACGACGAACATCTACTCCGTTCCGACATCCGGACTGCTCAGTCGCCTCCTTCCCTGACTCTGAGCTCGCTGCGGACTCGCTCTGGCCTCTCAGGGCGACAACGCACGCTGGTCCATCGACGAAGAAGGCTTCCTGCGTCTTAGTGGTCACATCTACGTACCGGACGTGGACGATCTCCGTCTCCGGGTACTCCGATCCCGTCACGACCATCCGACCGCTGGACACTACGGTCAGAACAAGACGCAAGCCCTCATACTCCGGGACTATTCCTGGCCCGGACTCCGTCTCTTCGTCCGAGACTACTGCAAGTCCTGTACCGTCTGTGCACGAGCCAAAGTCCCCGTCATCTTCCTTATGGCACGCTCAAACAACTCCCAATCCCGAGCGACCCTGGAACTCCATCTCCATGGACCTCATCGAGCAGCTTCCGGACTCCGATGGTTTCACCGCCATCCTCGTCGTAGTCGACCGCCTCACCAAGCAGTCCATTTTCATACCTACGCACGACACCCTTACCGCTCCGGAACTTGCGGACCTCTTCGTCCTCCATGTATTCTCCAAGCACGGAGTTCCCTCGCACGTTACCTCCGATCGGGGCTCGGAGTTCGTGTCCCATTTCTTCCGCTCACTCGGTAAAGCCCTCGACATGCGCCTTCACTTCACTCCGTTATCATCCGGAAGGCGATGGCCAAACCGAACGAGTCAACCAGACCCTGGAACAGTACATCCGGGTCTACTGCAACTACCAGCAGGACAACTGGTCGGTCTCCTGCCCTTGCGGAGTTTGCTTACAACAATGCTCCGAATGCGACCACCGGAATTTCGCCCTTCTTTGCCAACAAGGGTTACAATCCGGCCCTCGCTGTTCATCCCGAACGCGATCTCACTTCCGCGCGCGCACGCGAGTTTGTCGTCGACTTAGACGAACTCCATACCTTGCTCCGGACGAATATCGTTCAGGCCCAAGCCCGTACCAGTCCAAGCGGACAAACACCGGCTTCCGGCTCCGGACCTTAAGTCGGAGATACCGTCTTCGTCAAAGCCGAACATTTCCGCTCCACACGTCCCGCAAAGAAGTTCTCCGAAAAGAACCTAGGACCTTATACCATTATCGCCCAAGCCGGTTCACATTCCTTCACTCTTCGACTCCCAGACACTATGCGTGCTGTTCACCCAGTCTTCCACGTCTCACAGCTCGAGCCCGCAACTCCGAACACCATACCAGGACGGGTTCAGTCTCCACCTCCGCCAGTCCTTATCGACGGAGAACGGAGTTCGAGATCTCCGAAATCCTGGACTCCAAGATTGATCGTCGACGTCGTGCCTGCCAGTTTATTATACTATGTACGCTGGGCTGGTTACGAAGGAACTGACGAGGAAACCTCCTGGATTCTCGCCACGGAACTCGAAAACGCTGCGGAGCTCGTCTCAGACTTTCACGCCGCATATCCGACGAAACCCGGACCTTTAGCCTCACTTCCGTAGTCTCCGACTCCGTTGCAATTCTTACGGGCAGGACCACACCGGAGTTACATTGAAGGAAAAGAAAAACAATTTTGGGGCTGTGCCGTATTCTTACTCGTCCTCACTACCCGACCTCTCCTCGTTCTCCGGGTCGTACTCGCTGTCGGAGTCCGACGACTCCGCTTCCTCCTCCTCCATCTCCTGGAGCTTCTCCGGCTCCGCGATCTTCTCCAGCTTCTCCACCATTCCCGCAAAGTGGTGGGCGACCACCCTCTCCCTCCGGTACGACTCCTTCTTCCACTCGTCCGCGCCTCCCGGACTTTCGCGACGGAGTCCCTGGACCTCCACCAGGAGGGCCTCGAGCAACTCCGCGCTCGTCATCCCGGAGCTCGAGTCCCGCTGCCAGATCCGACGACCATCGCTCAGGAGCATCTCATACTCCTGAGCCACGGCCATCTTCTTGGAGGATCCGGCCTCCGGCTCCGGCATCATCTCCACGTCGGAGTCCGCGACCACGGACTTCGACTTCTTCGCCGACCTCTTCTTCGGCTCCGACTCTTCGCTTCTTCGTCCTCTTCCGGGTCGTCTCCGGCTTCTCCGTCGAACCCTTGCATGCCGCCTTGTCGCGCTGGCATGCGACGCAGGACTTCTTGCGTCCCACGTTCTCGAAGATGCACTCCAGGCCCTTGACCCGGCACCGGTCGCACTCCGTGCTGTTTTCCCCTAGCCCGAATCCCGGACCATGGCATTGGGTACTCACTGGACACTCCGGACGACTCCGGCTCCTCCGTTGCCTCCGCTTCTCCGCCCGCGCTTCCTCAACTCCTCCGCCCTCTTTCCTCCACGGCCTTCTCCTCCGCCGCCGCACTCGCCCTCTGCTCCGCCTCGATGCGCTTAGCGCGCTCCTCCGCCTCCTTCCGCTCCCGCTCCTCCGCTTCCGCACGCGCCTTTGCCTCGGCCTCCGCCTTCTCCTTCGCCTCGGCCTCCGCGCGACGTCGCGCCTCCTTTGCGGCCTTCGCTGCGTTGAGCCTCTTCTCCAGCTCCTCGATGTCGTCGGCGCGGGTCGGGGTTGTGGTGACAGCGTCGGACATGGTGGGGGCAACGGAGTACGGGAGTGGCGAGGAGATGGTGGGGAGTGGAGGTCAAGTTGTGAAGATGCGGACTCCGAAAATTTTCAGCCTTATATCGTTCAGATCTCAGATCTCGGCCACTTGCCATCGCCTATGGATCTCAGGGGTTCGATCCAGTTGGGAGGCACTGTCACGTTCCGTGCCACCAAGACCACCTCCGAACTCCAGTTCCGTTTTCTCCGTCTCCGTTTCTCCGAACTCCGGTCTAATTGTATTCGCTTAGCCTATCTTCTCCCGCATTACAATTAGCGTACCGCATGGTCTCTATCTTGCACGGACAATTAGCTTATTGTATTCACTCCGGTTACTAACATCTCCGGTCTTCCGTTATTGTTTTCCGTATCCCTTCCTCCGACTTATTGTCTTCCGTTCACAATTAGGACTCTTAGTATAAAAGACCGAACTGTAGCACTGTTGTACTCCAGTTCGAATATCTCGTTTATCCTCGTCTAACCAATCCGATTTCCTTTCCTCCGAACTCCTGTCTGAACTCCGGACTTCCGTCCGACCTCTGTCTAGTCTCTCTCTCGCTCTCGTCTTCTCCTCCTCCTTCCTCCGACTCTATCTCCGGACTCCGTCATAGTCCACCTCCGTCCAAGTCCAAATAGAGGACCTCGTCGAGTTCTCCCAGGGGCGTTGTTAATAGCTTCGCCAAGTCCTCATTCCACTGCGCTCCGAAACTCCGGACTTCGTAACTCCGACCTCGGACTTCGTCTCGAGCGCACGATCCTAACACCATGTCGGCAAACGGCCACAAAGATCCCAGTGATGGAGAACAGCGCAAACATCTTCTTTAGCGCCTCGGGCCAGCGTTGCGCCAGCGTTCCATGCAGACAGTGACGGGCTCGGCGAGAACGTCGCCTTGATTGACATTGAGCCAGTCCATGTCATCGTCTTGTGGAGCAGCCGCGCCTTGGGTACTGTTGGAGGACGATGGGCCGGCATCGCCAGGCACTGATGTGGCAGGCTTCGGCGGCCCCTGGTTGGATCAATCACCACGTCATCTATCAAATGTTTGATGACGTTGACGTGACCGAAAAGAACACAAAAGCCACACAAAAACCCAACCATGAGGTCGAGCAGTGGTATGCGAGGCCTCTGCGTCTATGAGATGTACGGGGGACTGTACAGTGGTCTAGGTAAGAAGGAGGAGGACGGACAAGACTCCGAACGACGTGGGAGAGCTTCGAAGATGTCGAAGACTGTTCGAAGGCGAGGGCTAAGCCTCGAAGGTAGGAGGGAGGGTTTCGACAGACGGGTCGAACGAACGGTGACAAGGAAGGCGAGCGACGGCAGGAGAAGAAGTGTAGAGCCTCTCGGGGCAACTACGAGCTGGCGAACGTACTGGCGAACTGACTGACTGGCTTCGAACGTACTGACTGACTGGCGAACTTGCTGACTTCGAACGTACTGGCTGACTGACAAACCCCGCCGGTGCGAGGTGAGATTGAGAGGGTAAGGGGGTCTCTGAGATTCGAAGGGAACAAGTCCCAGAGTATATACAGGAAAATACGGTCCGAAGACCAAGAGAGCCAAGAGAAATACAAGAAATGATGAATGAAAGTGATAAGGAAAGCAGCCAATCGGAGAATGTCACAACGCTCGACCCGGACCTACTAACACATGAGAGAATCCAACTCGGCCTTCCGCAGGTTCCGCATAACGGGCGACCGTCCCCGAACGGCGAAGGTCATAACCGAGCCGGTGACAGTCCTCGAAGATATGAGACAGCTGCAGGAGTTCGCCTGACTTACACGAACATGCCGCACCTCGACCCAACTTCCGAAGTGTATGCTGCCCGCTACTACCGCCTCCTAGAGGTCCTCAAGACCGAGGGACTTGTCGAGCCGCGATACGATGCCAACAGTCCCGGAGAGTGGCTGGCTTGGGCCCACGGAGTCCGTTGGATGATCGTACGTGCCTCCGAACTTAGACTACCGTTCGAACCATCGAACCGACCTTCGAACAGCGATTCTTGTTCGAGTCCCGCAGCCGGGCCATCCTGCTGGCGAACGATACGCTTCCTGCTCCTAGGTCATTCCCCGAGATCGACGAGTTGATGCGTTACCTTGATGAGGTCTTTCACCGTGATGGCAACCAGGGGACATCCTAGGTTCGCCCTACCCTACGATCGCATGGTCCGAGACCTTGGTACTGCTCGAACAAGTCAACCAGGCCGAGCGTTGTCCTCTCGCGAACCCGCAGTATCAGCGCGAGTCGTTGATCCTGTCCGACTTTGCCAGCTGCCCGACAACCTCAAGTCCATGGGTCGACGATTCACAACATCGCAGTCGACCAGCGCCGCACGCACGGCACCCTCGTCGGGTTGCTCAAAAGCCTGCTCGAGCGCGTCAACACTGACCGTGGCTCCGACACCGGTCCGTCTGTTCGTAGGGGTAGGGTGGTGGTCACAGGTGTGGTGGTCGAGGACATAGATACGAGAGTTGCCGGGGTCGTCACTAGCTAGGTTGACGTAGCCATGTACTTGCTCCGGAGTCCTACCAATGTAGCGACACTTCTAAACCGCTTGCCTCTGCCACTAAGGGTTCCGAACATTGACGCTTGAGCTTCGAACATCGGGCGGTTCCCTCGAACGGACGGACAGTGCGTCGACCGTTCTGACTTAGTGTACCGTTGTATCGACCGTAAATGGCGTTTTCGGTGGGTAGGTGAGCTAAGGGCTCATCAACGTACTCGGCTCGAATGGACATCATCCTTGTAGACGTCAACCTCCTCTGGGGATAGCCAGAGGTCTGTGCGCGCGGTGCGGGGATCCTCACGTGTTGTGCCAGGGCGGAATGCGTCATCGACGAGCTTGAGGGACTGGTTACCGTCCATGGTGGCGAGGAGAGCTGGGGTCAATGGATCTTCGCCCTCGAGCACATAGAGGCAGGGTGCACAGGCATGCCGCATGCGCCAATCCGGGAGGTCGTGCCCAAGCGCTGTGTTGATGAGGCTGTTGACGCGATATAGAATGTCGAGATAGATGTCGTAGGCAATACGGAATTGTGTACAGAGATAGGGCTTGTATGGAACCTAAAGGATAGTGATCAATGACATGTTCCAAAAGAAACATATGACTTACAGCCTGCAGGCGGCAGAGGGCTTTCACCTGCACCTGGATGCTGAATCGAGGCAGGCATGATGCTGGGCGCGGAAGGCCTCAAGGACATGGAAGGAGATCGCGACGGAGGGTTCGAGGGTGCTGTACCAATGTAGCCGTACCGAGTGAGTGTGGGGTTGATGCGCATGTTGACGCCACAGGCCACAAACGTCTTCAACTCACTCCCTGTACATCAGGAAATCTGGATTCCCTAAACTTGACTATCTTAGTTCTAATTAGTCTCATCGTCCTAATGACACTCTCATTGAGCATGATTAGTACTAATCAGGATAACATGCATAATCTAGTTCATACTATGAAGATCTTATTCATGTTAGTTGTAAATGTTGATAATAGTTCATAATCCTCAGCACATTGAGACATACATATGACTACTGTACAGCTATGCCTGTCAAAATGTTGAACAGCATGGAAAGTAGAGCATTCTTCAAAACAATACTAGTGATCCATTCACAAGATGCAACTGGCCCCAGTCATAGATATCACAAATGGAATGAAGAGACTATGATATCAACAGCTCATACATGAGCTCTATTTAGTATACAGATATGAGACAGAGGCAAACATCGAGAGAGGGGCTGGCAGAAACAATATATCTGCATGTGGCTAATTGTCTTTCAAACAGAGTGTTCAGTCGGCAAGCAGGCAAACGAGCAAACAAATGAATGGGTACGTGAACGAATGGGCGGGACGGCGGGACAGCGAGCGAATGGGTCGGCGGGCAGACAAACGAGGGAGCATCAGGCCAGCGCGAGCAGGGAAATGCAATGCGAGTGCGAGAGTAATTGACCCACTGAACATACCCTTGGCACGGCGGGTACGGCCTGCACGGTGAACATACGTCTCGGCGCTCGGGAGCTGGATGACGCGTGAGGATAGTCGACGCCGCGCGCAGATGCGTCCAAGGTGACGAGGACCGTGCGCTTGCTTGCGACCGGAACGATGCACCGGTCTTGTCATATCGCACCGCACTCAACTTGCTCAGACGGTCCTCCTCCACCTTCCGCTTCGCCGCTGCGCGCTTCTCCTCTTCCTCCTCCTTCTGCTCGCGCTTCGCCTCCTCACTATTCTGCGTCACAATCTCTTCGCGCACCTTCTTCGGCTTGTTCTTCGTCTCGGGTCTGAGCTGCGCGCCGAGGCCTCCGCGTATCCCGGTCGCCTTGTCCTCGCCCGCGATCGTGTCGACGAGCTGCCAGTGGAAGGCGGCTTGGATCAGGGGTAGTGTAGCAGCAGTAGTCAGACGATGGGGGTGACGTCCGCGACTCGGACATGGCCGTGAGCGAGGGCGGGAGGACGACTGGTCGGTCGTCTTGGTGAAGGAGAGGTCCCAGCCGCGCGCGCGGATGCCCTCCAGCTCGTCCTTCGCGACGATGGCGAAGATCGACAGTCGAGCGTTGAAGTCAATGTCAGAAACGTGGGCGCGGACGTCGTCAAGGCGGGCGTGCATGTCGGTAAACTCGAGGTCCGGAAGGCGAGCGCACATCTAGCATGTCGGGGATGCACGCCTGAATCTCGTCGGACTCAGGTACGTCCGGTATGTGGAGACGTGGTGGCGTAGCGAGGCGGGTCAGATGTTCAGAGAGGGGCGCAAGGATTGGCAGATAGTGGTCGTCCGGGGAGCACAGCGAGCACCTCGGTCAGCGGCCTCTGGCATTGAGTGACGAAGTGGCTATACCACGCGATGTGCTGACAGGGCGCGTGCGTGTACGGTCTTCGGATCGAAGCAGAAGTGGGCGAGTAAGCGAAGGGCTGGATGAGCGGGCGGACGGACGAACGAGCAGGCGTGTGGGTGGCCAGACCAGATGGACGAACAGGCCGGCGGACAAGCGAGTGAGAACGCGAACAAGTGGGCATGCAAGTAATTGAGAGGGCAGGCGAGCAAGTAGGGGTCGAGCGGGTGGGAGAGTGGGCGAGCGAGCGGCACAGCGAGCTATCTGCCAATGAGCCAGCACGGGCATGCACTGAAACCACACGCAGCGAAAGGAAGGTACATCGAACGGGGGCGCACCTTTGGTTTCGAGCCTTTGCGCTCGCTGTAATTTCCCGAGTTGCCCTTCAAGCTTCATGTCCACCCACCCTCTATCTCCCCCTTCCGCGTTCGTTTCTGTATGACCAGGAGATGGCGCGGGAGCTTTGACGCGTGGGGGTCGGCCATGGTAGTTGGTAGTAGCAGTTGTGGTGAGCCGCGAGTTGAAGACGACGGTCCAGTGAGTGGGCAGATACAGTAACCACGCGGATGGCGCGGAGACGGGCGGACGAGCGAGTGTAAGCGAATGGGCAAGACAGTGTGCGAGTAAGCAGATGAGTCGACGCGTGCGGCGAGTGGTGGGCGGGCGAGATGTCATTTGGACTCTGGCGGTCGTCGAGTACCGGGCTCGGGCGCTAAAGACTTGGCTCACGTCTCGCAGTAGTGCCACGTCGCCAGCATCCGCCCCACCCTCCTCGCGACTACCTTCCCGCACCCACCCCTCCTGTGCATGCCCATCCTCTCGCGCCCTCTCGCTGTCTCGTTTCCACCTGCTCTCACCTGCCCGCTCGCTTGCCCGCTTCTCCCGCCGCCCGCTTACCCGTCCTCGCTGCCTGCTCACCAGCCTTCGCCGCCTGCTCACCAGCCCTCGCCGCCTACTCGTGGCACTTCATCGACCGTCTCGCCCGTCTCGCCCACTGGGACCTCCCTGTCTGGCGCTCTCGCCGTTTCTCCGCTGCTCACCGTTCTCGGTCGCTAACTTGCTTGTAGGCTGTCGACCTGCTCGCTCGCCCGCTCGTCCCCTGCTCTTGCTCACCCGCCTGCTCACTCCCTTCCCAGCTTTCCTGTCAGCTAGCTCGCTCACCGGCTCGGTGGCCCGCTCTCACCCTCTCCCTTGCTCACCCATCTGCTCGCGCACAATCTGTCTCACTCTCTGATAAGGTAGTTTACTTGAGTAGGTGTGTCGACGAACCGTTGTGCCTACTTGCCCAGCAGTCCGCGCAGTGTCCGTCCTGCTCTCTCGTGCCCCCCCTTTCGCGCCCGCTCGCCGTCTCCCGCCCGCCCGCCCGCTCTCACGCGTCTCGTCCGCCGTCTGCCTACCAACACCCTCGGTAGCTGCCCACTGTCACCTCTTCGCTGGCTTGTCCACCCTCCCGATCTTGCTTGCGCGCTCGTTCTTGTCCTCTCGCCCCTCTTGCCAGCTCACGTACTTCCCTACTCGCTTGCCCGCCCTTGTCTGTCCGCGCTTGTGTCCCACTAGCTCGTTCGTCCACCCGCTCTTTCCCGTCCGCCTGTCTTGCCCGCCCGCACCCTCACCCTCCTGCCAGCTCACTTGTGCGCGTGTTCGCTCTCGCCTCTCCCACCCGCTCGCCCTGTCTCCTCTGCACGCCCTCGCGGTTGCCTACGAGGTTGATAGCGACAACTTTGCATCTGATGGCAACGGTTCCGAGCTCATTGGCCTTCTCAAGACCTTCAACTTGGACACCATGTATACTACGTACGATGCGCAGGCTCTCGGCGTGCAAATGCCGCTGCGCGACCACCGGTATCTCTTTCCCGGCGATGTTAAGGTACGTATGTTAGAGTTGCCCTGTATTGATATTGACCTACCCACCCAGCACGTTTCCGCAATGGTACACGCCTTCAAGCGTGCACTACCACGAGCACATTGATAGCTCCAATCGGAGCGGGGACTGTAGTCGACGAATGGGTGGCAGTGAGTACAGATGCAGACAGATGAATGAGCTGACTGCCCGCACAGGGTGCGGCGGCGTGCAGCACAGCATGTACGACGACCGCGGGCACGCAGGGCTAATGCCCTGCGTGTTAGACACGGCCGATGGGCGGTCGACGAGTAGGCGGGCGAGTCGTCGGATGGCGGATGAGCAGGTGGAGCGGGCAATCCGACAAGTGGGCCAGCGGGTGTGCGAGTGAACATGCAGATGAGTAGGCAAGCGGGCGGGCAGGTACAGGGCTGACGGACAAGCAAGCAGACGGGAGAACTCGTGGACGGGCAGGCACACGGGCGCGGCAACCGTGAGCGTGCTGGGTAAATGCCTAGTGCGCAGACCGGGCTACCAAACGCATGCGCTGGCGGGGCGGGCACACAGGCCAGCAGTTAAACGAGTGGGGTGTACGTGCAGGTGAGCAAGCGGGCGTACGTACAGGTAAGCGGGCAGGCAGGTGACCTGTCCTAGGCTGAGGGTACGGTAGATTACTACGTACACTGTTGTTGCTCAGTAGATATGCATCTGGAATACAGCCTTTGAATCATTTATTGTGGTGGTGCGAGCATGCACTCACTCTCCTCTACTTGATGTATTGAGGACTCATGGTGAAGGATCATAGCTAATGTATACGGGATTGTCAGAGGATTACATCTCAGATAGCTCTCATTAGAACTCATTAGGACGTCATTAGGACTAATTAGTACTAATTATTTTGGGGTAAAGGAATGGTGGCTAAGAGCTAAAGCTTCTAATTTGTACTAATTGTATCAAAATATGTCTCATATACTCCAATCACGTCTCATTAGGGAATTCAGGTTTTCCTG